GACTAGTGGAGTACCTTTATACTACATTTATATTTCATATACGTTTTAAAAATTTTTGTTTTTAAATATTATATTCATTCCAATATTCAATATTTTCCAGTTTTCCTTAAAACGAGTGATATTAAGAAAATAAAAGGCGGTGCTAAAAGACACGGAGAAAAAAATAAAAAGTTATAGATGCTAAGTGGAAAACAATGTATGAAATTAGATTCATATTATTGCAAAAGAAATTTACCTTAACTTTTAATGAATAATGAAAATATCTCTAATCATAATGATTTATCATTTAAAACCAGTCATATTATGCAAAAACATTTAAAAAATTATTAAATTTTGGTTACCTATCTTAGATTTAAAGTTTTTTTTTAATAGTTGTATCAATAAAATACATACTTATGCAATAAAATTTAATATTTAATATTTACTTATAAACATTTAAATAAAAAATACATTACATACATAAATAAAATAAAGTTTCTATTCAAGAGATGAAAAAGTTGAATGGCCTGGAGGAAATTTATTTTCCTGGCCTGAATTTTTTTTTCACTTTACTCCTGTATGTAAAAAAACGATCCCAACCCGGCAACATCACATAAAAAAACAGGTAAAAACAATCACAATCTACTTCAGGAAAAGGTACGTTCGAAATTATTGTGTATCTTCCGGATCTAAATAGACCCTTTCGTATTTTTATTCTTTACTAGTGTAAAACTAACGGCAATTGTAAACTGCGCCCAAAATAAAGATAAACCCAAAATCAGACATATAAACTGCGCCCGGGTAAAATTTTAAAAACCAATATCTATATTTTTGCAAAATTCTTTTTAATATATACTTATAATTTATTAAAACCATATAATATGAATAATTAAAATTAAAATTAAATTAAGAATAAAAAAAAATAAATAAATGATTTTAAAAAGTAAAATAACTACAAATATTACAAATAATAACATATTATTGTTGTTACATATTAACATATTCATCAATTGGAGTTTGACCACTAATTATTTATTAATTAAATTTTGTAACTTTTCGCGGTTTTTTTTTTTTTTGTTTTGTTTTAGTTGCAATAGTTACTTGATGACGAGTTAGTATTTTAAACGAAAATAAATTTCTATGATATAATTGAAAAATTGCACAATTATTGAGAGACTTTAGTAAGTCAAAAGTTTTGTACATTTTACAAACGGGGTACAGCTTAAGTTGTAAAGCACAGTTTACATTATCTAATATCTACACCTTTTAATATACATACAATTTCAGGCGCAGTTTACGTAGCTCAAAACTAAGATAAACTAGGGTTGCCAATTAGAGCGTCTTAGTTGTGTTCCATAAAAACGATAAACGCAATTGTATCCCACTTATTGGTCAGATAGTAGATACAATTTTTTTAATTTTTTAAGAGGGTCATCGGCTTTGCTATTATTACGTCGCGGTAATAAAATAATATTATATTTTATATTATTAACGATATTCATGAATGAATTTTATTTCCCGAATAATGTATAACTAACTTAAATTGGAAAACTATACCAAAATTTTCAACGAAATTAGTTTTAAAAAAATTATAGGTAAGCTGGTATCATTCTAGTATATATTAGATGTCTAGTGGGTCACTACTATGTGTGTGTTAAATGTGAATTCAATGATACATCATTGCATACGAAAAACGATTCTGAGCGGAGACTGTCAACATATATCACCATTTACGAAATATATATCACATTATGTATTTTTATATAGCTATAAACGTCATTTATTTTACTTTTAGTACCTATTATTATAGTATAGGTTGATAATTTTTTTTTTTTTTTTGAAAATACCACATTTATTTTATTATAAGTGTTTAATCTTAATAATGCTATATACCTATTTATACCAAATTATTATTATTACCAAGTTATTATATAGGTAACTCAAAATGTTATATAGTAAGAGAATAAAAATAGAGTTAAAATTTATCAAAAACGGTCATTGTACATAGTAAAATGCATAATAATATAATAAACGTAAAAGTTTTAAATCTCCACAAATAATGTTTTTGATTAATAAAAAAATAATTAACTTAATCATTCATCACTAAAATACGAAATATGTATTTTTCATATTTTAACTACTTCAAATGTCTATAAAAATAAGTTTTTTCACATTTTTTAGATTATTTTAGTTCCGATATGAAATACTTTTAAGAAATATTATATTACATTTTCAAACCTTACAGCTATAAAAAATAATTTTTATAAATTTTTTAATACAAAATATTCGTAGTTTTTAAAATTCAGTGACTTGGACTTCAAATGTATATAAAAAAAACTGAACTAATATATTTTTAATATTTATTTAAAAATATAAAAACTTATTATGTCATATGTAGGATTTTATATTAATTGTTCGAGAATTTCGAATATAATAATAATTTTTTATCAACATTTTTAAAATAATAAAAAATTATCATACTTATAATAGCTCAGGGTTAAAAATTTTTGAAATGTTTATATATAATAATAATTATTATAATACAAGAATTAGGAGCAAATTGCAAGTATCTACTGTTATTTTTATTTTGAAATACAACAAGATAATAAAAAATTATTTGAGAAGAAATAATTATTTTACAGATGAATATTTTACGTCGTAAAAATTTGAATTTCAAATGCTCATAAAAAGTAGTGATTTAGCTTTCCGGTAGGATTTTTCTTTTTCTTTTTCTATATAGATTAAAAAACTTATAAAGAGCTTTATAATAAACTTTCAAATCTTAGGTATAAAAATAAAAGTTTAGATGATTTTTTTAGCTACAAAGCGACTCGTACATTTTTGAGATCTTGACGAATTTTATCTAACTCATAACTTTAAACATTTATAAAACAATATTAAGACAAAATATTTTCGATATTTTTAATCAACAAATTAGATAATAACTTATGAGAAGTTTTATATTAAATTGTCAAGTATTTCTTTTGTAATTACATTGTTATGGGCTACGAGATATGCTAATAATATAAGTATATATAATATAATATGTAATATTGCTAGAAGTGTTAGCAATAGTAATATAGATATATATATGTGGCCTAATAATTATAATATATACGAGATAGTAGATTCATATTTCTATGAATCTTGTTTTTAAAAAACATCATAATAAATATATCAAAATAGCAGTCGTGTAACGAGGTCGTTTAAATATATTATTGCATTTCCACGAATTGCCAATTAAGAACAGAAGACATCCTGGAGATTGTTGTTTCAAGTGTGAAAACAATTCCAAGAATTAATATGAATTAGAAGGTTGTCGACTACAACAACAAGAGACTTCTTTGTATATAAGGGATTCCAGAGACCAACAAGGGCAGATGTACCAGAGCCACGAAGACCTAAGCAACTTCACAACTCTCGGCCACTTTTTGTATCAGTTACATGAACTTTATTTATACGTAATAAAACATTATTGTTCTTAAGAGTTGTAAATTTCATTTAAATAACACCCTGGATCTGAATCTGATATTGGCACGCAACAACATGATAGAAAAAACAAAACAAAATTCTCATGCATATAAATAACTCAAAAATATTCAAAATATTTTGAACATTCTGTCGTGAATTTAAAATGATAATATAAACATTTTGGAAAAATTTCAAGTACCTACTTACGGTTATTCGTTTTTGAGTTCACAAAGAAACAAAATCTATTTTGTCAAAAATTGGATTTGCGTATAAATTACCATTTTTCTAAGTTATTATTTTGGTTTTACCCGATTATAAAAAAGTACCGCGAATTTTTTACTTATTGTTCCTCAAAATACCAACTAGATTTAATTAATTTTTAACAAAAACCATCCTCAAATTTTATAATTGAATAATTTTACTGTCCCAAAAAGGCGATGACAGATAAAAACACACATTTAAATAAAATCTATTTATTCATCGCTCCCTCCACTTTGCTATATAGAGAGTAAACACTTAACAGTATACATCGCCATGAAGTAAGTAACTGAAATGTATGTGTTAAGTTTTAAATTTATAATATATTATTACCATTGTAGAGAAAAAAAATTTCCAAGTGTAGATGGTTTATAAACCTACATTACAAACTAATAAATATTATATTATATGATATGTTTTTATTTCTGCTAAGATTATTTGTTTATCTAAAAAAAAAAAAAAAATAAGCATAGATTAAAAAATATTAATTTCCAAATACTTTAATTTTGTTGTATCTGTTTAAAAATTTTTATACTTATAATATACTATCAGCTGACATGGTTCATATTACCTGCAATGAATTAAATATCAATAAATTTCTTCTTTCTTATATTTCATTAAATAAAAATAATTAGTTTTTTTAATTGTTATATACTTATATGGATTATAACCAAATATAAAATACATGGTCTAAAATTATATTCAACTAAAATAATTATTATATTTTTTGTAACCAATAGCAACAAAATAAGTCCAAAAAAATATAATAATTTTCTACCAGTAAGTCAACTATATACAATATTTATAGATTTAAAAGTAAAATATAAGTAATAAAGGAGATCCATCATACTATGGGTCTTGCTGAATCTATTGACACAAATTTTATGAAAATCTGTCAAAAACTAAGAATTTTCATAAGGGATATTTGTTGTAGTAGATATAATTAGTATATAATATATATATACTAATTATAGCAGATCCTACATAGGTAGCGTTATTTGTGACAAATTAAATTATACCAGTAAATTTACCCTGTTAAATATAAATTATGCAATAATATATATATTTAAATTATTGTTTTCTTTAACCAACAATAACAAAATTAATAATCCTATATGCATAAATTAATTTTTGATTCTATTTTAAAAAACAATATCCTTGAACGAACACATCTTCAAAAGCCAAATTTTTAATAATCCCTTCTAATTGCACATATAATACATTAAATAAATCATTATTCAAAATTTAAAATTAATATATTTTTTTCATTTTTGATTTTATAAGATGCAGTGATCAGGGAGGAAGTGATATTTGACTTACGCATTTATATATATATATATATATATATATATATATATGTATGTATATAATTAGTTAAATACCGAATTTCGTCCGGGTGTAGTTTGTGCTTTCTCAAAATTTTCCTTAATTTTATCAAGTGCTAAATAGTAATAGTAGCTGAATTATAAATAAAATAAAATTATAATGATTACTCATAGGAGTATTTGGTACAACTCTGCAAAAAAAAAAAAAATGAAAAAATGTTAAATAGTGTCGTCACAAAATGGGAACATAAAAACAGGCTGTTCTTTTATACATATATATGGATAATTAATTGTGTACCTATTACTTTATTAAATTAATTAGATAACATTTAAAGTTCAAACATGCTAATTAATGAATCCAAAGTATTGCTTGTCTGTAGAGCTTCATATAAATCCTCTCGTGAGTTAGGCTTCACATTTAACCCTTTCAATTTATGCCAATCGTCAAACAATGCCAACATAATAGCTAAATCAGTGAAAATAAAATATTAGTAGACACAAAAATAAAGTAAAAATTGAAAAATGAATTTCATTTAATTATCACACCTTGTAAACGCTGCATGCGTGATGGTTTTTGAGATGCTTCTTGTTTCAATTTGTCTTCATTGGAAATCATCAGTAAATACTCTTTTGTGAGTGATTCTCCATTTGTATTAGGATTGACTGATAGTTGTTTTATAGCATTAATAAGCTTTAATGTTTTGTCATTTTTTATGTCAGTTTTCAATTTAGAAACAATTGCATCAATCATCAATATTAAACTACCTTCCGATATTTCTATATACAATAAACACGTGTCAATGAACTATAAATTATGTCAAGCAATTCAATATACAAACCATAAGTCATGTCCAATTTGATATTTTTTTTTGTAGCATCCCTACTAAAGTTGTCCTTGAGGATTGCAATCGCAGTAATATTATCAGTTTTTATGGTTATTGATCCCCGACTAAAATAATGAAATAAGAGTAATATTATTAAATCAGATAAATGGCTTTTAAGCATAATTAAATAAACTACCTATATGCACACAATAAAACCGTATCTAATATTATTGATTCAAAAGAATATTCTAAGTTTTCTTGAGAAGCTGGTTTTTCAGGGAATCCTGGCAAGCAGTTTGAAATCCATAAATGAGCTTCTGAAAGACTAAACCCACCAGATAGTGTCAAAAAACTCTGGGGCTGATAGCTGAAAATTATTTATTTTTTTTATTAGTATTGTAATGGTTTCACTATTATACCAAATGCCAATAATATTTTATTTATTTTATATATATCAACCTAAACAAAATTAATAATAAAATTATGATCTTAATAACCATATCTTTTTACATAGAAATGTTCAAAATAACAGTTTTTCTAAATAAAAATGTAGATACCTAGTATTTCTACAACTTACACTATATTTTTTTTAGTTCTTTGATGATATAAAAGTGGTTTAATAGGAAATTTACAGACTTGACAACATTTAGGTTGTAATAGAGGTGTAATATATACAGTTAAAGTTCCATGATCACCTTCATGTGACCACATTTTCAATTCTAATTTTGTTGTATTTAATTGACATCTATATGTTACTAATAATTTATTATTATCCTAAAAAAAAAAAAAATAATAATAATACGAATAAAAAATATATTGATAATAATATTTATTTTTAATAGAATAATAAACTGATAAGTCAAGTTTAATCTTTAACAAATTGTGAAGGACACCTCATAGTAACAATTTGGCCCTGATGGATAGAAGGTAATCACTCACTAGGTCTTTATCACATTATTTTTAAATTAGGCTCTTATTTAATTTGTTTAAAATGTATAATTTAAATTTTCAAAATTAAATATTTTTAAAACAAAACTATTTTTAACAATAAAATAAGAAAGTATAGGTATGTTAATGATGGCTATAAATAATGGTATAGAAATTGATAAAGAAAAATTAACTAAAAATATAAGCCAGCTTATTTAATCTTTTAGAATAATTATTAATAAAAATTGTACATTCCAACAATTTAATTCTGGCTATTAAGAATTACACCTATATATTTTTGATGCATATTGAGTAAATAAATATATTTACTTATTATTTACATACAATAACTAGGTATTTTAATTAGCCATTAGGTATAATAAAATCTGACAAAAAAACAAAAATTATTGAAATGATATTTTTGAGAGATAAAGGAAAAGTTTAAAAAAAAATTGTTTATGTATATATATCAATAATAATACTTAATATTTACAACTACTATTACCTACATACATAGGCGAAACTACAGGTCAGGCCAATCAAGCCATGGCCTGACCCAATACTGGCTGAAAATGTTTATAATGTATATTATATATTTTAATAATTATTTGGGCACATATTATTTTATATATATTTTATTTGGCCTGACCTAATAAAAATGTCTAGTTTCGCCTATGTCTACATAAAACAGTTCTATCTATTTTATAAAATACTTATGAATAATTTTAGTTTACTGTGTTTCAAGTTATTTAGTACAGCAGTTTCCAAAGTGTGCGCCACGGCGTCCTGATGCACTGTGGAATCTTTACATCTTTATAAGGGCGCCACATTGTGCAGTGATATATGTACAAGCTCATCCATATCATAATAAATGTATGTATAAATTAAGTATAATTAAATAAATATTTTCATATTACCTATTACAATTTTTGATGGTTTTTATTAATTTTTTTTTCTGGTAATTAGAGAAAGGCATCCTAATTCCTAAGAAAATCTTAATTCAAAAAGGGCACTATTAGTCAAAAAAGTATGGGAACCGCTGATTTAATACATTTAAATTTACTAATATTTATTTAGCAATTATTAATGTTAGCTATTACACTAACATTTATCATTATATAAATAAATTATATAAATTACTATACCTCCTCATTACATTTACTCTTGCTCACAACAGCATTATTATTATTTTCAATATCAATCAAATTAATTAAACAATCGCATTGCAATAAAACATTATCAATAGTGGCTTCTAGTTCAATTATTAAATGATAAATTAAGTTTTCTGAATCTAAAAACATCTGTTGAAAAAATAAACATTTTCTATTTACCCATATACTTAATCAACTTAAAATTAAAAAAAAAAAATTATACATTATTCTTACAGAATTCTTAATAGCTAAATGAGGTAAAACAGAGGGTCTTGAACTTTTTTGGGTAAATTCCAAATATTTGTTTCTTTCTATAGCAACTTGTCTTTCCAAATCACTTACTTCATTCCTATAACATTTAGATTCAAATTACGTACTAACTAAATATTTATTATGGCTTAAATGGTAAAAATATTAAAGGAGGAACAAACTAAAATACAACATTTTAATAAATTAACATAAATTATATAAATAGTACCTAAAAATAAACTACAAATTATGTGTATTTAATAATTATTGTTAATTTAACAATATGTAGTTAAAACATAATATGCTTACCTTATATCTAATATTTTTTGTTTTTCATCATTTAAAATTATGTTTGATGATTCTAATACAATTTCTTTATCAATATGTTGATCAACAAAAGTTAATCCAAAAAGCCAACCTAAAATAAATTATACAATAATCATTATTTAGGTATTATATGTTGAGTAGTTAATTTAATTTAACCTGTAAAAGTTGTAACAATAATTTCTGGAATATCAAAATTTCTTATAACTCCACCTTGAATTGAAGTTATACTTTCTGAACAACTCTAAAATAATATTAACATTTATAATAAATAAATTAACAATAGCCTAAAATTATAAAATTTATAAAAATTACATATTTATATTTTTCAATAGGAACAGAATGTGATTCTAACGAATAAACTTCAACCAAACCACTTTGACGGCCAATTAAAAGATGATCCTCTCCGTTAAATTCATAACAATCAATACATGTTATAGCTCCTTGTTTTGTTTGAGTTATAAGTTCCCAAAGAATACTAGTAGAAGCATTTCTAATAAGTGAATTATAAATTAATTTATATTTTAGTACTAGAATAATAATATAACACTGTGAGCTTTTAAAATTAAAATATACTTTTCTATTTTAAGGAGTACAATGTGACCGTTTTGCAGTCCCACTAATAATTCATTTCCATGCGAACCTCCATTGTTTTTCATTAAATGCAAACAAGTCGGTTCTGATGACAAATAAAATGTTTCTTTTACAGTTGAACCTTCAAGTATTCTAATACATAAATCTGCACATGCTAAAATAGGCATTATACCTTGCATCTACATAAATATTCATACTTAGATAACAAGAAATTTCAAAAAGTCATAATGATAGTTTATAGTTTACTCTACCTTTATTACATCTAATGTTATAATACTATTAATGACTTCTGGACATAAATATGTGCTAATATCTTTGCAATCATTAAAGTGACTAAATATATGTTTTCCTGATACCAAAAGTTCACTTCCAGTAACATACCTTACAAAAAATATTTTTATAAATTTTAAATTCATTAAAATTTGTAATTTGTTTGCAGACAATAATTAATTTGAAATGTCCTAATTAATATATTTTATGAATTAGAACTTATAATACATTTAACATCCAATTATTTAATTGATTTGATCACAATAAACAAATTACATTTCAGTTATTTTCAGAATTCACTCACATGCATTTAATTGATTCCAATAATCCAGTATCAAAACTAAGAAACATTCGACCCTTTTTAGTATAACCACGAACAGATGTACCCATTGACAAAAATATTTTATCTTGAACAGTACCTTTAAAGATATTAATCATCTGAATTAATAAACATAAAATTCAATTGGAATAATAAATTGATTAGATACCAAAAGTTCCTCCTAAACAAACTGCAGTTATTTTTTCTAAAGGTAGTGTTTTGAATAACATATTAATTTTTCCTTTGCGGACTTGAAACATTTGAACAATTCCTTCTTGATCGCCAACAATGATCTACATTTAACATAGAAATGAATAATAAAAATAAATTAAACATATTTTTATAACATATTACTTTTTGAGTCTTCTTTTCAGCTTCATCATTTTGAGAAATTGGCAAAACTTTCATGCAATTAGAAGAAACCATGCCTAATAATGTGTAATCTAGTCTATAAAGCTCCATGTTTAATTTGATATATTATTAAACAAATCAATACATTTTTAAAACACTAGTCGGCTAATAATAAAAATAATGAATACATTAAGTAGGTTACTATGGAAATAAAATTGTAAACATTTATAATAAAGAGTGAAAATGTATCTCTTAATTTTACTGAAAAAATTAAAACCATTGTATAGGTAATATAATAAACTAGATTTTAATAAAAATTTAAAACAATTTGATAATTCAACATCATTTTTATTTACAACTTTTCAACTTATGTTTAAGTACAAATTTTTTATGTCATTTTCAATTAATAAAAATGAAGATTCTGTAATATCTTTAAGAATTTTGGTCACACTATTTTCTGTAACCTCAGAAAACTCAGTTTTATCTGAAACAAAATGTAACTTATATAATGACTGCTGATTGCATAGATAAATAATTTTAAGATTCTTGTAATTTTAATAACAATAGAAAATGTTTTTAGAGTGATGTTTCAGGTAAAACTATCAATGACTAATAGATAATAGATATGGATTAAAACTGTTATTAGTAGTAACTATAGCAACTAGATTCATAACACTATTAGTATTTACTATAACAGTAGTCTCCATACAAAAATTATCAATAAATATTATTCCTTAAAATATCAGTTTTTAGGTCTATAGTTAAGTTATATTAAATTTTATGGTTATACAGTAAGAGTTAAATATTATATTGTAATAATTCATATTACGTCAAATAAGTAACTAAACAAGTACTCAACTAATAAATATTTTTTATATTACCTTTAAATACTAAGTGTCCGAACAATTCACAAGTTGCTGGATTAAATTTATCCATACGTTTATCTCCTAGAAAATATATATTTATTTTTTACAATTTTATATAAATAAAAAATTCAAAAACTTATCATATAAAAACAATATAGGTTTTAAAATCCTAAAATCTTAAATGTATTTCAAATTAATGTTTAATCTTAAACAATTAAATAAGTAAGTGATTTTAATATTAAATATAATATTTTTCTAGTATGCTACATATATATTATTATTATTATTATAAATTTAAAATTTTTAATAAGTAATAAGACGTAATAACATATAAATTATAGGCTTATGTAAATTAAATTTACCTGATGAAATTCTTGCCCAAATAAAAACTCTCACACAGTTTCTTAAGTCATTAAAATCGCCAGTATTTAAATCTTTAGTTAGTGCTCGAGTTAAAAAAATATTATGGGGGATATTTTTTTGCTGGAGATAATTAATCATGATAAAAACTGTTCTAAAAACCATAAATAATATTATTCAATATTTATTACAAATAATAAATTAATGTTATATAAGTGCTACAATATTAAATTTACTTGACAAAACTAGACAGCGAGTCACCACTTTTTAGTACAAATACAAATCCTTTGGAAGGATAATCTATTATTTTGTAACAAGGACCACTAAAATATTCTATGTCCTGTAAAATATTAAATTACATGTATTTAGTGGCTAAAATTATTCAATAAATTATAAATAGCTTAAATTTTTTTAAACTAAATTTTAGTTTGAAAAGTGCTATAGTAAAAATATTTAAATTAATTTAATGATATACATTTTAAAAGAAATAATCAATTGCTTAAAATAAGATTTATTTTAATAAAATAATGAATTTTGTTTTATAAACATTATAATGAATGTTCATTTAATATTTATAAAATATTTATTTTTTTACACTTACACAATACTCAAGGTACATTTTATATTGTAAATAATACAAGTGTAAATGAAGATGGTTTACTGAAGCAAAAGCGCATAAACTATTAAATCCAACACGTATTGCCCTGTAAATGTTTAGTGTAATGAACAAAGTTTAATACAATTGTTATACAATTATAAAAATGGTAACTTACGGAGATGCACTAAGAAGTAACAATTGAATTGCAATATTTAAACTATATTCATCAATAATTTGTGGTAGTTTACTATTAATTTTTGGTAAAATTAACGAATGAAAGTATCCCAAAGGACTTGTATTTATTGCCAAGATATCATCTGTATCTAAATAAATAACATAATAATTAAAATGAATCATTTTGATGGTACTCTTACAGCAATAGTATTAATTTTATTATTTATTCAGTAAAAAACAAAATGACCCATCATATAAAATATAATGGTTCGCAACCTTTTTAGTTGTGCGGACCACCAATTTTGTAAAAAGATATTGAAGGCCGACTAGTTATACCTATATATGTAAATATATAATAATTATATATATAAATATAAAAATGACAAGTAACAGATATTATTATTAATAATAAACGTGTATGAACTACATCAGATAAAATTGGTGATAGTGTTAACTGTTTAGTTATTTTTGATTAAATATTATTATAACCAGAAATATAAATGTTACTTGTTAGCAATGTTTTGATGTTTTAAGACCTATAGGTTACGACCCGATTCTACAATCCACAAGTGGACCGCAATCATTAGGTTAGGAACCAGTGGTTCTATATGAAATGTATATAAGTAGGTAATAACAACTATAATAGTATCAAATTTTTAAATTTCATAAAAATTATAACTTTTAATTTAATCATTTAATCAAGAACATTTAATTAAAATTAATTAAATGTTCTTTACAGCTAGTCTTTCATTAATCTAGATATATATTTTTTTAATTAATTATCTATTGTCTATTTTAATTATTCTTTAAGCCAATAGCTAATAACAAATATTCAAGCTCTTATAAAATGTTTGTATAGCTTAAGAAAATAAAGTCACAACTATCTACTTAAACTTTATGGATAAAATACGTTACATAGATAAATGCATAATATTCATATATCAGAAAATGTCATAATGATGATTCAATAATTATATCAAGCCTAACAAACAGAAAAATGGAAAATTTTAGTTTAGTAAGTAAAGTATAAGTATATTTAATAATGGCATATATAAAATAAGCAGCTAAACTTACTAGAAGAATTACTTGATGTATTATTAAATTTGAATAAATATTCTCCTTCATTAACTTTGGTAAAATTGAACAAATTGTCATTAAAAGGTTCTAATACACTAGTAAATATGTTTGGTTTACGGCGTTTGGTACCTCTATCAATATTCAGCTAAAATAACAAAATATAATGAGATAATAATTTATTAGAAATTAATAAAAATATACAATAAGAATTTATTTATGTGGTATAGAGCAGCGTTCCCCAAATTATTTTCCTGCCAGACCACTTAAAGATAGTAAAAATGATTGCAGACCCCCTTAATAAAAATAAACAACAATAATAATTAATGTAATAAAGTATTTTCAATTTACGTTAACAAACCACAGTTTGGGAAATGCTGGTATAGAATAAGGGCTGGCAAATGGCAGACTATAGTCTCATATTATATTTGAGAATATTCTTTAGTTAAATTTTCTTATACACTCAGAATTCTTTTATTTGTAAAAGAAATTATAATTTATTGAGTTGTATTAAATTAAGTTTAGAATTCAAGATTTAGCACATTTATACAAGCTTTTTTTTTTAACTTGTTTTTAGAAAATTTTGGAATTAAAAATAAATCATTGCAATGTACAATGATAATATTTTTATTTCTAGACCTCATTTATTCATTATTTTAATTATCCAGATTTAAAAAAAAATACTTGCCGATCCTTAGTAGGTACAAAGAATTTTAATTAACTTACAACTGCAAGAAATCCATACTTTCCAGGCAACACAATTACATTTTCTTCTTTATATTTATACCTAAATAGCCCTTCATCTTCCTTTTCATTCCACAGTTTTTTCAACGATTCATCAAATTTCGAATTAACTGACAATGATTGCCATGATGTTGTAAACACTAAATCTTTGTCATCGTAATAAAACATTTCTTGGCTAATAGATTTTTACTAGATGTTCAGATAGATTTGAGTTCATGAAATTTTAAATTTGACGTCAGTATTTTAAATTCTAATTAATATTTTATACTTCATAATTTATTATATTTTTTTAATTTTATACTTATATTAAGATTATTATACAGAAATAAACAAATAATTTAATGAACAGTTGGTTATGATATATGAAATAATTGAAAAATTAACTCCGGTCAGCATGCATTCAACGGTTGTTATCATTAAACAGAGTAAGTGATATGAAAAAAACAGCTGTTCCTGTGTATTTATTTACTTACTGTTGTCTATTTCTGAACACAGAACAATAAACAAATTAATTAATTATAGAATTTATAGTTACTTTTTACTCCTACTTTACTTCCTGCTTGCCCATTTTTAGCAATTAAATCAAATAAAGAACAAAATTTGTACGATTTACCTACTGTTAAATCGTAATTATAACTCCTATTCAACTATTCCTTTGTACAATTACTACAATTAAACAACATAAGATTCGGTGAAAAAATTTAAAGGATTTACGACAACTCTTGTGTTTACGTCTTACCTACCCCCTTATACAATACTAATAATATTATATAATTTAAAAATCTGATAAGACAAGAAGGTAATCGCTCTATTGTATAGTAGATGTATGAGCACCTCTTCATGAGTTATTCACATTTCATAGAACGGAACTTTCGGTTCCTTGAAGGTGAAGGCCTAAAGTACAGACTAGATACCAACAATTTTTCACCTAAAAACCTCTCTCGTAGTCTATGAACGTAAAAAAAGAATCAACAAAAAAAGTTACAAAAAATGTTTATATACCTATCTTTTTAAGGCCAATTCATTCATCGCTCAATTAATTGTCAACTTGAAGCGTCTAAAATACAAAAATTAGATATGGATGCCTACTTTTTGCTTACTGTAGATTGGTAGTCTCCAGAATACAGATACAGTTCTTCTGCATGTAGTATAGAGTTGTGGCCCTGTTTGATTATATTCATAAATACTGATTAGCAGTCAATAGGTACTTATTTAACTTGTTCTAATTGTTGTTATCTACACATATATTAACCATGGACCATGTATTGTAACTACTAACTACAAATTCAAGTTATTTGGAAACGATGAAAACACTCACTATTATAGTATATTGCTCTATATATCTATTAAAGTATAATATTTTATATTTATTAGGTACTACTATTTATGTCTGAATTTACTGTTAAAATTAAGAAGTAAAAGCCACGATAAAATAATATTATTAAACGTAGGTAACATTCAAAGTAGGTATTGAATATTGTGTTTGTCGTCTGATCTATCTAATCTCTGATCAAAATAAACGACCTTCGTGAAGTTTATTTTTTTCTAATTTCCTATTAACTATTGGATGAGAGATGCTTTGATAAGTAGCTTACCGTGTATATTTATACAATATAATACCTATACCAAATAATTTGAAAAATACATTTACATTTTACATAAAACTTTGTCAAAATTTTAACGGTTTCAAGTAATAAAGTTTGAAAAAGAGTGAATAGACACTGTTTTATAATAAAAAATGTTTAAAAGGACACAAATTAATAAATAATTTTTTTTTTTAATAAAATATATAAAAAAAAAATAGTATTATCTTATTTCTGGACCTAGTGGCTTCCAACAATTAGGGCCAATGGGGAACATATCTATGTCCGTAAGGCACATTCACCTCAATAGTTTGAAGACAATTATTCATTTTTAAAATTAATCTTAAATTAAAAGTAATACAGTGGAATAAAACAGTATTATAGTAGGTAATATGATTATAGGCTGTAGACCTAAACTCTGTTATTATTTTACTATTAATTGCTAAAATTAAATAGGAAATTGAGCCATATATTACTATACCTACAATGTATATGATGTAGGCACAGTCTCTTAGATTATAATATATTATCTGATCGTATTGATTTTAGACTTTAGGTGTATTTAATCTATAATAGAGCAAATTGTATTTATAATAATAATTAATACCTACATATTATTATCTATACGTGTTATACATTTTTAAATAATATTACAATTTATTAAATATGTATATTACACATACTAGTAATACTCTATTGGTATTTCGTGTTATGCATAAAACCATCTTTGAATATATTTAAAGAAAAATATTTAAAATATGTATATTATAATTTCTAATAACCATGATTCTTTGAAATAAGAATAAAAATTTCTAAGTAAGGTAGGCATCTAACTATACACAATAACTTGTAAAATGTTTTTAAGTAAGGTCATTCTTATAATAATTCAAATTTAAATTCATGGTCAATTAATAATTTTATTTGCATACAATTTTCGTTGTATTATACTCATATGAGAATTGGATAAGTACAGATACTACTATTTTTACAATACCTCAAATTTTATCCATTATTTAACAGAAAATGAATTATCTATTATAAATTTTAGGTAAGTATAGTAGTCAATTAAAGACGTATATGATATCAGTAGATTGTTGGTACCATAAACTAGGTACAATACAGTATATCTAACTTTATATTTAAATAAGGCGATTATTTAATCAAAGAACGCACATTACATTTTTTATATAAATTCTAAATATGATAAAACGACATTTTTTAAAGGTATTTTTCTGTTTTGAACGACAACATATATTTTTCATTTCATATTCTCAAACGGCATATATTTTTCGGAATATTTAAAATTTCAAAACATAAAAATTGAAATTTGGACGAATAATTTAAGAGTTATAAATATTTAAAGCACAGATGAACGAGTGGAAAAATCCTCACACCCTGTAAACCCTGTAAAATGTTAATCTTCTACTCCGCTTATCTAAACTTTAAATACTTATTTCGACTAGAAATTATGTGAAAATATTTTTTACAAAAACATTAATAGATTCTGAAGTAATAAGTATTTTTAATAAAAATATTACTTAGTTAGTAGTATAGACTATACACATTATATTATATATCTTATATTATGTATTGATAAATACATAGTAGTACAAGTAGATATAATATGCATTTTATTAAAAATAAAATAATTATAGAAAATATAAAGATATTGATTTACTTTTAACTTATACAAACGTAATAATTATGTTTACGCTTGTATAAGTTTACGACTAGTTACGAAAATATTTTTGTTAAGATTAATTATAAAAAATGCAACCAGCTCAATCGATATATAATTAACAATTATTATTTTGTTATTGTGAGTCATTTTTCAATAAAAAATAATTCAACAACAGCTTTTTTTTTATTACTTGCATTTTTAAGGTTTTATAAAAATAATAATAATGTACAATGTACATAAGATCCTATTATATTGACATGAATTTTTAATGAAAAATATTAAAGTGTTATTGTAAAGACTGATGACATAATATGATAATATATTGATTTGCTACCATATGCATAAATTACACAATATTTAACAGTGATCAGAATAATTAGTCATCAAAATATTTTAATTAACCTCCTAATAAGTATTTACATAATAAATTATGGGAATATAATAAAAATTATAAATCCATTATTTTTAATTAAGTATATTATTTTAAATTATATAAAGTAAATTCGTTACATTATTTACATTAAATATAAGTACAATTTATATTCAATGGTCTCAGTGATATGATTGTAACGTTTGTTTAAGGAGAGATATAGGGGAATTAGATCCCCATGATTTTAATTTTAGTTTCTGAGAGAAACTGAAATGCATGGATTTTAAAATTATATTTTTTCTGATATTTTTAAATATACATGTTGGTAATTAAAATAATGTAAAAATTTTCAACTTTAAAGGTAGTTTCTGAATGCAAATCGTATTTCATAAATTTGTTCTTTGAAGAGGTTTAAATTTAATGTAATAATTTACGATAATAATATTATAAAGCTGAAAAACTGGTATGTTTGAATGCGTTAATCTCAGGAATTAATAGACCTATTTTAATGAAAATTATATCAATAAATTATTTGAGACTAGGTTGTTCCAATCTTCTTTTTTAACCCCTAAGGTCTGCTATGGGTTGCTGCTATTGAGTGACCAACGATAAATTTTATTTTGGCTTACAAACATTGAATAATATTTTGTTATTGGCTAAGAAAAGAAATGTATAGTGTAGAATAATTAAACCACCGTAAGTATGGGATTTTTTTAAAACGAAATATTTAATTTATTGTCTGTTATTCAAATATACAGCAAAAGTGTGAATGTTTTTAAGCTCATAGCTTATATAGAATAAAAATTACTCTACTGATTTTGATGAAAGTTTTAGAGATTGTTCTTAGAGATATTAGGAAATTTTAGGGATTATAATTATTTGAAACACGATCGAAAATATGAAAAGTTCTATATTTAAACCACCACAGGTGAATTTCTCGTCTCGATCAAATTGGTTTACAAAGCAAAGAAGGTACATCGATGTTGATTTGTTCGTGTACATTAAAACTGAAATATATAGATATAGCGCCGCACTTAATTTTTGTTAATTTTTTTTTTAGTCAAGTTAAATTATACAGTTAGTATTGTATTAATAAAAACCTTTTTTTTTTCTTTTTTATCTGATATTCTTGTAGAATAGACTATAGCCATGTGCAGCGATCTGGCTATGGTCGACGTAGTAGATAATCCAGTAAACATCCAAACCCAATAAAGTAATAAATATGAAACTATGTAGAAGAGGTCTCGTTCTGCTAGGCCCCCTGCACTTAGGGAATTGTATAACAGGTGGCAAGTTATCATTGCGCTATAAGACATGTCTCACCATTCAAATTTTTATTTTATTTTTTAAGTAGTTATTAATAATTCAGTCGTCAGCATAGTCATTGTCCACCGCAAACTCATTATCGTAGTTATTTTTTAATTATTGATGATTTTTTTTTTATTTCTAGTATGATATTGTCTAAATATAATATGAATATTAATAATAATGTCATTATACCTGATTTTTTCAACGTTTCACGGACCCAATGACTCACACCTTGAGAAGTTTTTTCAACTTTTTTCATAAATTTCCATAATATGATCAATGATCATGTCATTGGTATTTTGAAAATTTATGATTTAATTATAAAAAATATGATCAAAGTAT